ATAATCAGATGCTATTCTTTAAGAACTTTGAGACTACACATGTGATGACTTTTAGGAACCTGCACTGTGGCTGAAAATGCATGCAAATCTAGCTGACTCAGATCCAGTCTTAACTGGCTCCTAACTTGCTTCATAAACACAACTATATGTCAGCAAGGAAATGAGCAAGAATAACAGCACATCACATAAACCCGATAAGTATTTGCAAAACAGCAGTACTCAAAAATGACATTTTGCAGTGTTTTCCAGAGGCAGGTTCAGAAAACAGAAGCCCAAAATAATGAGGGAGACTTCTTATGGCTAGATGAGCAGAAGCATACCAAGGGCTTAGTATTTCCCCAATTAGTAGGCACCTCAAAGGAAAATATTCTTCTTGATGAAACAGATACAGCAGCTGAAGCAGGAATGTGTTTGGTGTGCTGCCTTAAATAGCATGGGTAGATGTTCAAACATGTAGGGACTCACTGGCCCCAAGAAGGACCCATGGGAATCTGGTCTACACCAGGAAAGTGACAATGAAACCTCAAACACCTTTTGTCATCTAATTACCAAAAAAATTATTTCCTTTCCAATGGTTGAAGACAATAATGTTGGGAATGATGACATTTTCTGGAGTGTGAAGTGGATATGCTTTATAAGTGTAATCCACAGCTTCATCACCTCATAAGTGAATAATTGAATTGTGCCTCAGTTTCTTCAGACTTGGGGATATTAAGAGTACCCTCAGTCACCACCAAATGGGTACCCACACAAGAAAAGAGCAGAGCAAAAGCCCAGGGGTGCACATTCTTAAAGTGCCTAGCATGAGATTAGAAAGACAAGTGGTAGATGACCTACTTGTGCAGAAATTTAGTTATTTTGTGATTTTCAAGTGATCATCAGCATATGTGAATACCTTATACTAACTTAAAGTGTTTCCTGTCAGTTCTCCCTATTTCAGCAAACTGTCTTGCCTCTGCCTTTCTTTGCTAGGTAAGCACTTTTCTATTGGTTGGCAGGCTTAGCAGCTCTCGGTTTTGCCTTCATGGGAGACAAAGAGCATGCACCCCTGAGTTGTGGCAAAGGAATGGTGTTCTGTCCTGGGCCTCTGGCAGATCCCCTGTGGCTTCGCTCTGTGTCCCCACCCAAATCTCATCTCAAATTGTAATCACCACATGTCGAGGGAGGGACCTGGTGGGAGGTGATAGGATCATGGTGGCAGTTTCCCCCATGCTGTTCTCATGATAGTGAGGGAGTTTTCACGAGAGCCAATGGTTTTAAGTGTGGCACTTCACTCTTTCACTCTCTCTTCTGCTGCTTGTTAAGAAGGTACTTGCTTCCCTTTCGCCTTCTGCCATGATGGTAAGTTTCCTGAGGCTTCCCCAGCCATGCAAAGCTGTGAGTCAATTAAACTTCTTTCCTTTATAAATTACCCAGTCTCAGGAAGTTTCTTTATAGCAGTGTGAAAATGGACTAATACACCCTGGCTTTTGGTTCTCTGTGTTCCCTGGATTTCTGCCTACTAACGTACTTGATTCTTGGCAGCGAGGGGTTGGTCTCTGCCTGGCTGGTAACTGCATGCCTGGCTTCTGGTCTAGCTTGCAATCTAACTCGTTCCAGGTGCGTATGCTCAGATTCAAGCTCCCCAGTCCCCTTTTCCTCTACAATGGTGGCATATCCCATGACTGGGCATGACCTCCTGCTTATATAGACTTCTTGGAGTTTACCTTTTTTCTGTTTGGTTATGTGAAAGTGATCCTAAGCAATGAACCTGGGCATATTCAAAGAGATAATGAATGAGAGCTTTGGCCACACATGAAACAAAGCAGAGATACAGGGAGATCTAAAAAAGTCCAAACAAGATCAGCAGAAAGTAAGCCACACATGAGCAGACCAAAGATCAAGAGCAAAACCTGAACAGTAGCTAGAGCAAAAGACTGCCCTAAAGATGTGACTGCAGGACCAAGAGCTAGTTTTTCAATGGAAAACAGGAGTCAGATAACAAGGAAACTACACATTTAAAAGATGAAAAAATACTGCTCTTAAACTGGAATTGAATATGCAGTGAAAACATCCTTGAAAAAAATCAGTCAAATACAGACAGTGTCAAACAACTGACATGATTTGCCATCATCAGATCCATATGCGTAAACACTAAATGATGTTATTCATTGACTGGAGTTTCTAGAAGAATGATAATTAAAATTGATAGTGAAAATCCTTTTTTGTTTGTATTACTAACTCAATTTGTGCCCCCTCGCTCCAATTCCTACAATGAAGCTCATTCACCACCCTAATGTGTCTGTACTTGAAGCTAGCACCTGTAAGGAGGTAATTAAGGTTAAAGAAGGTCATTAGGGTGGGCTCTGATTCAATGGGACTGAAGACCTTTTAAGACGAGGAGATGAGGACACAGACACATACACAGAAGGATGACCATGTGAGAACAAGGGAGAAGACGGTGTCTACAAGTCAAGGAGAGAGGCCCAAGGACGAACCAGCCCTGCCCACATCTTGATCTCAGACTTCCATCCTCTGGAGTGTGACAGAATAAATATCTGTTGTTTAAGCACTCCAGCCTGAGGTATTTTGTTATGGCAGCTGGAAAAGATTGAGACTGTTCATTATGGACTTTTAAATGGAATGACTATTTTACTACCATGTACAGTATTAACTGTTGGTTTACAAAGAGATAGGTATTCTTTACATTAGTTAAATATCTATTTATTCTTAGTTCATTTTGACTTTCAATATGGAATGTATGCCAATTCTTTCCTAAAGTGAATTTTAAAAATATATCATTTTAAGTGACTAATATATGAATTCATCATCCCTTTGACAAGGTTTTAAAATATTAGTGAATGAATATGACTTCATGCTTTCCAAGGCTTCATCTTCCCTCAGAGATTAGAGAGTATTAACATTCTTAGTTTTTAAAATACATTTTATCCCCTAGAGAAATAGTTATTAACATTTTGGTAAATATTTGAAATATTTTAATGAAAAAAATTCAGTTCATATACCATGTTGTTGAAATCCATGTAGGACTTGAAAATTATGGGCATTTTGCGATAAAGAAAATCCAATGCTTTAGTACTAGGGTGATAGTTTTACGGTTTCAAAATGACTCTGTGAGAAGCCCCTGCAATACTGTTGGGAACCAAGAAAGAGAGGCAATGACTTAATCCTTCACAAACAACTTTGGTCAAAAGATGTACAGAAAAAAATGTAGTTAATTTGAGGAGCAATCAAATCGGAACAGGCAACACAATGATCTCACTGTGGATTTCAACACTTCTCTCTCTCCCTTGTGTTTTCCATGGTGCCGGAAAAAGATCTTGAAACCAACCCAAACATTTTGTGACTAAAGTTTAACAGATAAATACCCTAAGATATGTTCTTATTCAGTTTTGTATGTCTACAATGACTGTCATATAAGTAAAGAGTATATGTTGGATTAATTCAATCAGGGTAACAGTTTTTCTAATGAAAACAGTTACAATCCATGGAAATACTGTGTGGCTAATGAAAGAGAAAAAAATAACAGTGCTTATGTGTACAAGACATGATCTATTCAAGAGACTCACAAAGAACCAGAATACTTTGAGCCATCCCAAAGATCTGCTTTCAGAGATAATGTGTACTCCTCAGTCAACAAATATCCTCACCAATGTCTTCATAAAGCAAGTCTCTCCATCCAACAATAACTACCATAAAATACTACAGACTTTGAAATGATACTGCTAATATCCTTTGCTCTTTAACACTTCATTTTCTCTTTTTAGAATACGATAGTTCTAGAGATTGCCTGTGACACAGAGAGCCTCATATGAGACCAAGGAGCTTTAGCCGACTGCTTGTGGAGCATGAAAGTATATTGTAGACCACAGAGCAATGTTCTGCAGAAGCATTAATACAGGTAGGTGAAAACTCACTATTTTTCGTTATAAACCTTGTTATAATGCGCAGATTTGTTTTTTAAAATTTCGAAGCACCATACAAAATGTGCCAAATGTAGCTAACTGCCAAATGTGTTTAAAGAAATAAGAACTGCAGTGACTAGACACTGACTACTATTTCACAGCAGAAGTCACTCATGTTCCTTAGAATGCTGATTCTTTCAAGTGTAAGACAGACGTTGTCCAGAATTTTTTTTTTAATATAAATCACCAAACTCCACCTGAGGATTTACGAGGTGGAAAAAAAGTCTAATAAGCAGTAATTAGTAAGTTCTTAAGTGTTGTATATGTTTCATTTAAGTGAAATTAAGATAACATTGATGGTGCCATCTCTTGGATGATGTCAGCAGTATAACAGATCCTTCCTAAGTGTGTACAATGTATAAGCAAACATTAGATGCTAGTTACGCCACACCTGTATACATTCTACTAATTATTGTGTGTCCCTAATATGACATACTTTCAATGAGCTATGAAAGTATATCAATTACTCTTTAAACTTCCTTGGCATGTATCACTCTGGTGTAAATTTTTATTACCATACCTCTGTGAAATCCATAAGCTATTCGATGGAGTAACATCACTAAAATGTACTGAAGCAATCTGGTTGATGTAGTAGAATAATAAAGAACGTATGTGCTTTGGCAAAGCATCAGTCTGTGTCCTTTGTGTAAAAATATAAGAATCTGGCCGCAGCTTTGGTTAAAAAACAATAACAGACATGAGATCAAATTTACCCTGTAGGAAACTCACCCAGATGTAGAAGAACATCACTTAGATATGCATTACACCTATTTGTCTTATTCATGCGAAATGGCTTAGTGATTAGAAAACATCAACATAAATACTTTGGAAGGAGAAGATACTAAATCAAAGAAGTAACTCTTTCACTGAAAGCCTCTATTCACTGCTGCAAGGGCACTATGGCTCACTTAAAATATATAAATATCCGTTTACAGTTGGAGTACTAATTGGGATTAAAAAAAATTTAGTGACATATATATTTTACATTTCTTGGAAGACTTTTTTTTAAGGTAAAAACATGACTCCCATAAAAATATCAACATGTGTTAAAAGATTTTATTAAACTAATTCAATTTGTTAGGGAAACAGTAAGACAATACAACTGGTTAAGAGGAGCATTCAAAGTGCACATGTATATAGGCCATTGGGAATGAGGAAATAAATTTGCTAAATTGATGCAATAGCCAGGGCCTGTCATCCACAGACAATCACTCCACCACACACATACATGCCTTCCTATGGTCTGTCTGCAACTTCCAGGATTGAAGATCTTCTCAAAGACATCAAAGAGCAGAGGCCACTGGGAAGGGCTGAACCACAATGGAGCAGCACTCCTTCACTCCCGATTTCCATGGCTACCACCATTTTTCTCTGGCAAATCACAGACAAATTTTAAAGACTGTGTAAATCTATAAAAGCAATTAATCACAGAAGTTCAATGTCTGATAAATTATTCCAAAAGTGTTCCCAGGGCACTCAGACTCACCAAGCATACTTTCTGAAATCAACTTCTATTTCTATCCAAAAAGTGTAGGCCATCAGTGTTCTTTAAGGAGGCAAATGTTTGCTCTGAGGTAGAAAGCATTCTCCAATGTAGATAAGGATGTAGATACCAGGTAAATGCTACAGTTGTGTTCATATTAACAATAAACTATGGATGATGTGGCTCAGAGTCAGTCAATGAGGAAAGATCCAGAGATATTCTGAGGTCACAAAAAGAATTTAAATGTTAGCTAACAAGGAGAAGTACTTCTTAGTGCTCATCAAAAGCAGGGCTTTCCCACACAGACTGGAAGCCAGGCAGAACTACCATCTCGCTTTATCAGTTGTCACTGTATGCTGACATCAACACTGAGGAGAGTGATGCAGATGACAGATATATGTACATACATATGAATATATAAAGCATATACTTATATGCATACACAGTTTACATTTCCCAGTGTTCAGAAAAACTAGAATAAAAGAGAAATGATGTTCCATTTTTGTCTTTGAAAAGTATGTATTTCACATATATCTACATACATACACATGTAATTTCCTACATGCATATTAACTTACTGATATACATCTGCATATATAGAGGTGCATGTGTAGATATATACATGTACATTCACTTTATCGCATAGTCCGTCAGCCTGATTTTTGAGATGGTAATTCAAGTTTCATCTTTGTTCTGGGCTTCGTTTCTGTCTCTACTGTGTTTCTCTCAACTGTCAAGTCACGTTTTATCAATATGCTAGAGTAGGGCAAGCCAACGCAGGATGGAAACACCAATCTCAGGAGGTTAAAATCACTATGCATGTTGGGGTTTGAGAGTTGCTGATTTCCTTTTCTTTTCCCCAGCAGTGTGGACCATGAGAGTGGGCTGGGGGGTGGCAAAGTGAGGCCCTCTCTTTCAGTCATAGAGAGGCAAACCAAACAGCTCGGGCTGGAAGTCTTGCAGGGAATTCAGCACCACGGTGGCCTTTGTCGTCAGGTCTCGGCTCAAGTTTCCATCTGGAACCATGACCACCTGCATCCCAGCTGCCAGGGCCGCCTCCACCCCATTGGGAGCATCTTCAAAGACAAGGCACTGCAGGAAGAAAAAGAAAGTCGAGATGGCTGTCCATGGAACCAGACATGTGGATGAAGTGTTTATTATTGTCATCACCACTGGCTTTGCAACTGTGCAGAATGAGACAGAATTATGGTGGGGACTCCCCAGAGTACAGACTGTGGTGAGGATAGCATGCTGTTTCTTACTGTCTCTGGGGGGGTCCCCACCACGGCTCCTTTAAACGAGACAGGTTTCCATCGCAGCCAAAGCATTGTTGAAGTGGAACGCAGCTGTGTGGCAAGGCAAGATTCTCAGCTTAAAACTTTATTTTATTGGGATCATAACAATCTGTTCAATCAATAATTGAACATTCAGAGTGTGAGAGGCAATTGCAAAACTAAAAATCATGCTCTTAAAATATAAAACCACTTCAGAGCTGCTCCTGTTTTATGTACTGTAGTTTGAAAATTAAATGGTTGGACTTTTAAGTTAAAAATTCAGTTCCTGTGTGTGCTGGTGTGACATGACAAATATCTCATGGGCACAAAGATGTAGTGTGCGTGCATTCTCTCTTTTGGATGATAGTGAAAATCCACTTTATTACTGGGATTATGGACACAGCAGCACCCAAAACCTGTGGTCTCTTCATTCAGACACCCACATTTAAAATGGGGTGTTTCCAACTGGCAATTGCAAAGATATGCAATCAATCTAAGTGCCCATCCACCAATGAGTGGATAAACAAAATGTGGTATATATACACCATGGAATACTACTCAGACATAAAGTGGAATGAAATAATGTCTTTTGCAGCAACTTGGATGAAGCTGGAGGCCATTATTCTAAGTAACTCAGAAATGGAAATCCAAATATGGTATGGTCTCACTTATAAGTGGAAGCTAGGTTATGAGGATGGAAGGGCATAAGAATTATATACAATGGACTTTGGGGACTAGCAGGGTGAGGAAGAAAAGACTATATACTGGGTACAGTGTATACTTTTTAGGTGACAAGTACACTAAAATCTTAGAAATCACCACTAAAGAACTTATCCATGTAATCAAAAGCCACCTGTACCCTACAGACTATTAACATTAAAATAAAATAATTTATTTTAATAAATAATTTATTAATAAATTTTTTAAAAGTACTGAAAGAAAAACCAATAAATAAAATAAGATAGGGTGTTTGCACACTGCATTTATCAGTGAGCTCCTAACGGTCCCACCACATTGACAATGTTACAGTAAGTTTCGCATGAGGGCTCCCTCCAAAGGAGACACCCTGGTGTCTGCTCCATGGTATAAACAAGTATAATCCACAAGTGCTATCTTCATATCACTATCCCTCTCAGGAAGACACACACCTAGGAAGCTTCTTTCCTACATTCCTGGAATGGCACATACTTCATGTAAAAACAGATTTATTGATGCTTTTTAACTGAGACTCTGCAGGGGCCCAGACATCTGTAAGGGAAGAAAGATCCTCGCCATGGCAGCCTATGCTGAGGAGTCTCCCCTGTTCTTCTCCACATGTGGTCTAGAACTCCAGAGGCCTTTCAGCTCTCCACTCATCCATCTTGTCTTTGTTCTTTTTGTCCCTTTGCTTTTTTTTTTTTTTTTTTTTGTGAGACAGTCTTGCTCTCTTGCCCGGGTTGAAGTGCAGTGGTGCGATCTTGGCTCACTGCAGCTTCTGCCTCCCAGTCTCAAGAAATTCTCATGCCTCAGCCTCCCAAGTAGCTGGGACTACGGGCATGCACTATCATGCCCAGCTAATTTTTTTTGGTATTTTTAGTATAGGCAGGGCTCACCATGTTGGCCAGGCTGGTCTCCAACTCCTGGACTCAAGTCATCTGCCTGTCTCAGCCTCCCAAAGTGCTGGGATTACAGGCATGTGCTACCACTCCCAGCCCCCTTTGCCTTTCATCATGAAAATATCCTCTTCAGCTTATCACTAGGTATATAGCAGCAACCCAATGCACTGGTATCCTGGAAAGGGCTCATGGAAGCCTGCTGCCAGGTCTGAAAGAGAAGTTCTGCATTCTTTGATGTTTTCACTGTTAAACACTCAAACACACACACAGTCTTAACTACCGGTGGTCTGTGCTATAGCCAGTACAATGACTTTTTTTCTTTTCCCTCCCTCCCTTATTCTTTCCATTACCCCATTCTTTCCTTCTATCTGGGGCGAAAATATCTCATTAGCCAACTTACCACACAGGGCCAATCCCTGGATTAAGTAAGTTAACCCATGTCACAATGGAACGTGAATGCTATGTTACTTTCACAGAGGGAACTGGTTTGCCCAACTGTTCCGGTTTGCTTGGAACTGAAGGGTCGGCCATGAGGCAGGATGTTCCGTGCTACACCCTGCACAGTCCCAGGCAAGCCATAGCAGTCCAACCCACCACCTCCCTTCCAACAGCTTCTGACACCCCCTGGTTTCCTTCTTCTGTGAGACACTGGTCACCGCAGGACGGGGGAAGAAATGACTCCACTTAGACTATCCAGGTTGGTTTTCCCAATTATTTCATTCAGTGACTTACCTGTTCATGATATTTCTGCCCTGGCCTTTTTAAAAGTTACGACCCGATCATATTCTAAATGCCCTCCACTGTTTTTACCTGGGACCAGAGATAAGCACTTAAATGTCAAATGACATTTGGAAATATCCATCACCTTCTCTGGGGATTCTGAAGCTTTGTGCAGGGTCCACCTGTGAACTGTGGGCTGGGGCAGAGGAAGAGATGGTTTATCCCCTGAGGCAACACTGCTTGGCTAAATAGAAAGCAGCTTTTATTCTCTCTTTTATTTGCATGAGGCTGCTTCCAAGGAGCATGGCAGACATATGTGATGGGAACTCGGTGGCTGGTAAACTGTGGCAGTTCCCTAAGAGACAATGGAAGGCACCCAATACACCTGCACTCACCTAATGGGGGTAATATGGTTTTGCTGTGTCCCTACCCAAATCTCATCTTGAATTGTAGCTCCCATAATTCCCATGTGTTGTGGGAGAGACCCAATAGGAGATAATTGGCTCATGGGGACATTTGCCCCATACTGTTTCCATGGTAGTGAGTAAGTCTCACAAGATCTGACAGTTTTATAAGGGGAAACTCCTTTTGCTTGGCTCTCATTATGTCTCTTTCCTGCTGCCATGTCAGACATGGCTTTTGCCTTGCACCATGATTGTGAGGCCTGGAAGTGTGAGTCTATTAAACCTCTTTTTCTTTGTAATTTACGCAGTCTTGGGTATGTCTTTATCAGCAGTGTGAAAACGGACTAATACAGGGGGTCTGCAGTGGAAGAAAATGCAGGCATCATGGTCATGATGTCCCTTCACACCTCAGAGATCTGCCCAAAGGCAGACCCCGTCTAAAGGCAACTAAGTGAGGGCTGTGAGTGAGGAGGAAAACTTGCAAGTGGCTGCAGCACTGACACAGTGGGAGCAGCCGACACCAGCTCTTGGAGACCTTTATTGTTTCTCATGACCTTCACATTTTGCTGGTTTTTCTGTGTTCAATTCATCTGTCCCCACCTATCTTTAAGATTTAATAATCCAAATATGGCACTGACATCTGAAATATTACATGCAATGTATAAGATGAATGTCATACCTAAAGAGGGACCTGAATAAGTATAAACAGTGGTAAAAAGTCAAGGTCAGTAACTGGTTGCTATTATGATTAATTATAAGAAGGTGACATAGGCCGAGTGCACTGGCTCACACCTGTATTTTGGGAGGCCGAGGTGGGCAGATCACTTGACGTCAGGAGTTCCAGACCAGCCTGGCCAACATGGTAAAATCCCATCTCTACCAAAAAATAAAAAAAAGTTAGCTGGGCATGGTGATTGATGCACGCCTGTAGTCCCAGCTACTCTGGGGGCTGACAGGAGAATCACTTGAACCCAGGAGGTGGAGGTTGCAGTGAGCCAAGGTTGTGCCACTGTACTCTAGCCTGGGCCACAGAGTGAGACTCCATCTAAAAAAAAAAGTGATATAATAAGCTTATGCAACAGAAGGGCCATTTGAAATATATCCACATGAGTAAGTAAAACCCTCAGTGCTAAATGATTGAGGGGAAACCTAGAAGACATGCCACTTGGTTTGGGTTTCCCAGCATAAGCCCCTTGCAAAGTTAACTATTCTAAAGGTCAAGAGTAAGTACAGCCTCTGATGTAAAACAGCCATGGGTGATCTCAGCCCAAAACAGCAATGAAATGCATGATGCCTCTGGCATCTGAAACCCTCTTCTTCCCCCTCTCATGTGGCCACTTTGCTAACAGCTGTCAGGAGACGCTTTTCCCCAACATTAGCTGGGCTTTTACACTTCATGTCCGCTAACAAGAATTCCATTTGATCAAGGTGGAATTTGCAAAAAGAATCTAAAGTTTCAAAAGCTAACAGAATAGTCAGCTAGAGGTGGTCGATGATGGAAACGTGGCAAGAAAACTCAACAGAACAGGAGTGGAGCAGAAGTGAGTGGTTTACAAGAAAAGAGTGAGGTTGGCCCTCTAACATCAGGAATTGTTTGCACACAAATTTAAAGAAAGCCCCAAACACAGGACAAAGAGCAGACACCAAACATGAGTCCTGAAAAGAAACCCCCTGGTGCTGAGCAAAGATGGCATCTGCACCATACAGCCTGCATGCAGGGAATGATTCTGGGTCATGCCACAGCATCTGGAATTTCAGGCTTTGTTTGCTTGCGTTTTTCCCTCAGAAGCAATAAAATTATAAACAACAGAACAACTACCGTGTCCTGAAGCACCTACTAAAAACATCCCAAAAGATTGACTGATTGATGATTGATTCATTGACTGACTGATTTTGAGACATAGTCTGACTCTCTCACCCAGGCTAGACTGTAATGGCAAGATCTAGGCTCACTGCAACCTCCACCTCCTGGATTCAAGCAATCCTTCTGCCTCAGCCACCCAAGTCGCTGGGATTACAGGCGTGCAAAACCATACCCAGCTAATTTTTTGTAGTTTTAGTAGAGATGGGGTTTTGCCATGTTGGCCAGGCTGCTCTTGAACTCTTGACCTGAACTTATCCACCTGCCTCGCCCTCCCAGAGTGCTGGGATTACAGGCGTGACCCACTGCTCCCGGCCCCAAAAGATTTTTATGTCATCTTTAGACTTCGTTACACCCAAAGATCTAATGCACTTGTAAATAGAACCACTCCTACAAGAAAAGTACCTGGTATCTAAAAGCCTAACCATTTATACAATTTTCACAGCATGGGTGTCTATCTACTGAAAGTTAAGGATTTAAGAATAAATCCTT